AATCCCCTAAAAAAAGTGTAAGAAAATTATATTTATAAGTGTCTCCTCGTGTGTGTAGAATGTGTGATTTTTTTAGACTTCAAAACGGGCCAAAATGTGCACTAGATACACCCAAGCAGTGCCTGGCATAATTGGAGTGGCGTTGATTGTCCCGTGGCGCCACCTCTTGAGTAGAAAATCAGCACTGCATTTCCTTTAGTATTATTATCATAAGTTTTTCTCTCAATATCCGATTGAGATGATTCAAGTTGGGTTGTAAAGCTAACTCCTACCACTTCTCGTGAAAATTGTCATTTTACAATTCAAATGTTTACTAGGTGAAAAATAGGTTTTAATCTTGAGCTAAAAATTCAGAACGTACTTAAGCGGTTGAAAATCAACACTATGTCCATACCTTGATCATATTTTATTCATTTTGGCTTCTAATTGCATCCAATTGACCCCCAGCATTCTCAAATCTTCATCATGAGGCTCAACACAACTTTTGAGTATTTACACTTACTCTCAGAACTTTGAATCTCTTACAACTTAGCCACTTCCTCCAACTTTTGCTTATTTTCTTCAATCTCATCAACCTATACCACAACACCAAAATATACATTAAAACGCTCTAAAACTCATAGGAATTAGCCAAATATCAAGTTTAAATGGTACCTAAAATATGAGTGGAATACACTCATCAACTACCCCTAAACTTAATACTTTGCTAGTCCTCGAGCAAACACAAGAAAAAGGAAAATAATTAAAGACAGAGACAACGATTCAATCAAATTGCTCGCCTTTTTGCTCAGCATTAAAAACATTATATTTCATTCATGAATAATTTCAAGATCGCATTACTTTCAATGTATTCAATGCAAAAAAGATGTGTGTGTGAAGAATTAAGTGTAACGCCATACATTCACAAGTTGATTTCCCATATTTTAATGCAGAAGGCCTGAGGGAGTGGCCGAGAAAGGCTCGAAAGTATTTTCAAATACATCAAGTACAAGATGAAATGAGAATAGGTATAGCTGGGATATATTTTAAAGGAAAGACTGATATATGGTATAATGGGTTCATAACCAACAACTTAGATGTAAGTTGGGAATCCTTTTCCACTGAAATATGTAGGAGGTTCGCTGAAAGTACGACAACGGAGGTAATTGAAGTTTTTAGCAAACTGACTTTGCAGTTGCTGGCCAACCTATGAAGTGTGATGATCATAACCTATTTACTTGCTGGTTTGGGTTCAAAGTATGACACACTTGTAGCCACAATCTCCCACCAGAAGGACACCATCACTTTGGAAGAGGTGTATTCCATGAGTAGTGAGGCCTGTATCCAACACAACAATCAGTTAATTTCGAATGCCATCACTAATGTTGCTACCCGACAACAAAATTTTTATAGCAATCGAGGTCGAGGAAATCGTTCCAATCCTCGAGGCAGGGGGTACGTCCAACACTATACCCTTCGTGGCTCAAGCAGAGGTAATTTCAATCTTGCATACTGTTCAAATAATATTTTTGACAACACTTTGTGGTGCCAACTTAGTGACAAACCAGGTCACACTGCATTCTGTTGCTTCAAATGATATGATCTCAATTTTCTACCTCCACCACCTCGACAAAATCCTCAAGCTAATTTTGCTTCAAACCAACTACCCAACAATCAATTGATCAAGAATGGTATGCTGACACTAGAGCTACCCATCACCTGATCAACAACTTTAACAACCTCAATGTCCGCAGAGATGAGTATGTAGGGAATGATCAAATTCAAGTTGGTATGTAGGGAATGATCAAATTCAAGTTGGTGATGGCACAGGTTTGAATATAACACATACTTGCACTTCTTCATTTTCACCCCTTCAAAATCTTTTGTCTTAAACCAAATACTAGTTGTCCCTCAAATAAAAAAGAATTTATTATTTGTTCAAAAATTTGTTGAAGATAATAATGTTTCTTTCGAATTTCACCCTTCTTTTTTTCTTATCAAGAATTACTCAGGGAGCATCCTGTATAGAGGTCATCTCAAAGATGGTCTGTATTGTCTTTCTCAGCCTCTTCAATCAATCATTTCTTTAGCTGTTGTTGGTGTTCGAGTTTCTATTTCTGATTGGCATCGTCTTCTTGGACATGCATCCTACAAAAAAGTACATCATGTGATTCCCGCAAATAAAATTCCTGTTGTATCAAATAAAAAACAGTCTGTTTGTCCTGACTTCGAGATGGCTAAAAGCTACAACTTACCTTTTTATGCTTCTAATCATCGCGTTTCTAAACCTATTGAACTGCTTTATTCTGATGTATAGGGACCTAGCTTTGTTTTTTCATGTTATGGTTCTCGTTATTATGTTTGTTTTCTAGATGATTTTACTAAATTTATTTGGGTGTTTCTATTAAAATTAAACTATGATGTAGAACAAATTTTCTTACAATTTCAAAAATATGTTGAACGCCACTTCTAAACTCAAATTAGAGCTATTCAAACTGATTGGGGTGGTGAATATCGACACTTAAATAATTATTTTAAAAAATTGCGGGATTCAACATCGACTAGCATGCCCATACACACATGAATAAATGGATTATGTCGAACAGCGTCATCGTCAAATTGTGGAAATGGGCTTAGGTTTGTTAGCTCATGCCAATCTTCCAAAACCATATTAGGAAGATGCTTTCTTGACGGCAAGATATATTATTAATCGCTTACCCACAAAAATTTTAAACAACCATTTTCCTTATGAAGTGACATATAATAAAAAACCTAACTACAATTTCTTGCGCATGTTTGGATGTGCTTGTTGGCCAAACTTACGAGCTTATAACAAACGTAAAATTGATTTCAGATCTAAAACTTGTATTTTATTGGTTATAGTCTCTCACATCAAGGGTACAAATGCTTAGATTTATCCATAGGAAAAATATTTGTTTCGCGGCATGTCATATTTAATGAGTCCTCCTTCTCTTATATGTCCAATACACATAAAAATCATGTATCAGAGCCCAATTCAATTTCCTTGCCCTTATCTTTAACACTACACATCTCAAATGTGCTAATTAATCCTGTAGGTACTGATATGTGTTCTTCATAGCCATTGCAATTTGAAGGAAATCATGACCACACAGCTATCTCTTCAGACACTTCATAAGGTAATGACGCTCTTCCAGTAACTCATGACATTCAACCATTAGTTCTTGTTGTAGAGCAACCTGCCAACAATGCCTCTTTACCATCATCACAACCTCGTCGCATGATAACCAAGTCTCATACTCACTCTCTCAAACCTAAGCAACCATTTGTTGGCATCGTTAAATATCCTCTACCCAGGTGCTTACTTGCTGAGACCACATCTGCAACTATTGAGCCTACATGTTACACAGAGGCTTCCAAAGATGCTAGATGGCTAGAGGCAATGGATTAACAGTTTCATGCCTTGCGCATGTTTGAATGTGCTTGTTGGCCAAATTTACGAGCTTATAATAAACATAAAATTGATTTCAGAACCAAAAATTGTATTTTATAAATTACAGTCACTTATGGTTGGAGCATTCGCCAAATAGACATCCAGAATGCCTTTTTACATGGCTTATTGCAAGAAAATGTTTACATGCACCAACCACAAGGTTACATTTATCCTGATTTTGCTACACATGTGTGTCGGTTAAAGAAGAGCCTATATGGTCTTCGTCAGGCACCACGGGCTTGGTTCTCTCGCCTAACTAATAAATTGCAACAATATGTTTTCCTCAGTACCAGGCTGACAATTTTCTCTACACACTCTATTGGAGTAATCTCCAGCTATTTATCTTCATCTATGTTGATGATATTATTGTTACGGGTTCCAACATAAAGGAAATAGCTAACTTATCTCAACCCTTGATCATGACTTTCCTGTCAAAGATCTTGGAAATCTATCATATTTTCTTGGTGTAAAGGCTCTCCGAGATGACAAAAACTTGTTATTGACTCAGAGAAAATATATTGTAGATTTGTTGACAAAGGTAAACTTGCAACACGTCAAACCTTGCCTAACCCTATTGTCAACATCTTCTCATCTATCCAAATTATATCAGAGCACAATAGGGGCGTTGCACTATTTGGGGTTCAATCGCCTTGATATTGCATTTGTTGTGCATCATGTTAGTAAGTTTATGCATCAACCAAAGGGCACTCATCGGCAAGCAGTAGAGTGGATACTCCACTACTTGAAGCATACAGTTAATTAGACGTTATGAAGTCACTACTCACCGCTATAAACTGGAACTCATGCCCCCCTTTAAGTAAAGGATGGTATCTAACTTTGCCAAACAAGAAATAAAATTAATATCAGTTTCTCAAGTTCAAAAATTTAGATTTTTCTTCCAACAAGTATCCTATAAGCTATACCTCTGATTTCTGAATTTCGAAAGTAGTAACTAACAAGGTTTCACCTTCAAATGGTTCCCACACAAGCCTGATATCTCCAATAAAAATTTACCACTGTTCTAGAAATCTCAAAATTAATAACTAACATGTTTACCATATAGTCTTAATTCTAACAGTAATGTGGAAGATTTTATTTTTACAGTAATAAAGTCAAGTTTGAGAAGCAGGGCCATGACTTCATGAGATAAAGCTTCACAATCATAATGGTTATTTTTAGAAACAAGGGATTTCAGAATGCTGAATATGGTTTTGACAGAAGCAAGATCTTTGAGATGTCGAAGGGTTCTTGACCTTCGTGCAAGGAAGATTCTGAAGTGGGACTAGATAATAGAGGCAGCAGCCCCACAAAGGGATTGAGAAGACGAAGGAGCTTGGTGGCGGAGGACAGATTTGAGAGAGGCGATGAGCTGGAGGAGAGAGAATATAGACCACAAGAATAATGCTAGAATAACATAAAGCATGATAGAGGCCTTACCTGAATGACGTGGAAAGTTGAAATAGTGGATAATATTTTATTTTATTATTCAAATTCTATTTTTTTTTTAAATCAAAATGGAAAGCAAACTCATCATGTGCAAAGACCCATTTACTCATTTTCTTTTCCCCCATTCATCCAGCCATTTTCTCCCAGCTCTTTCCCCCCTAGTTTGGTCTCCATTTTCAGTCTCATTTTTTAACACACACTTCGCATCTACACATTGATTTAGACCTCTACAACTCCGACATCCTCGAGCTCCGAAGTATCCGTTCATTTGGCCGGCACCGACATCGCTTTAACCGTGCCGTCAATATCTCTGACAATTTTTCGATCTTCGCTTCCATCGATAACAGAAAAAGGTAAAACCCGAGATTTATTGTGAAATCTGAAGTTAAGTTAGAAATCTAAAATTTCTTGTAAATTATTTTGGTGTTAAGGTACAAATCTAAATTTTGTTATAAAATCTGAAGTTTATTTATTTTTTTTAAATCTATTTTTTTAAAATCTGAAATTTAAACTCCGAAATTTATTTTAAAATCTAAAAGTAATTTTAAATTCTGAAATCTGAAGTTAAGGTGAAATTTGAAATGTATTTTTATTTTAAATAGAAGCATGATTGTGGGTAGTATGAATTAGGCTAGACTTTGCTAATTTTTGGAAGAATTTGTGAGAAAATGATGACCATTAAATTTATTTTTATTTTAAGTAGAAGCATGATAATGAGCACTTTGATATAGGCAGGACGTACTTATAACAAGCTGCTCTTCTAAAAAGCATACTTATAATAACAGTTCAATTGGCTTTTTGTCGTAGGAAAGAAATTTTGAATGACGTTGAAGTCGATATGTTGGAGGAGTCCGATGATAACAACAATGGTGACAATACAAAATCACTGCGTGATGATGCAACAAGAGAGGATGGTATGACTATGCCTGAGATGGGCATCAAGTTCAAGGACGAAAGTTAAATATTATAGTTTTATAAAAGATATGCCTACGACTTGATTTTTCCAGTGAGAAAAAGAAATTCTAAAAAGGATGATGATAAAGCTCTACAATATGTTACATTTGTTTGTAGCCGTGAAGGTAAAAGTCAATAATACAAGTGTTTCTCTGTAGCCATAAGCTACGTTGCAGAAGGGGTGTAAAGCCAGACTAACTGCATGTTCAGATATTCATGGAATATGGAGAAGTAACAAAGTACACCTTATCACAATCATAGAACAAGTCCTTTGAAGTCTACACTGTATCAATGCAACAGAGAATTATGTGCTCAAGTGAAACGTCGGCTTGAAGTAAATGACGTTGCAGGATTATTGCTGCACAAAAGTTTCAACTTTGCAGTTGTTAAAACATGTGGATATGAGAATATGACCTACATCGAGAAGAATTGTTTAAACTATGTTGAAAAAGTTAGGAGGTTATGACTTGGAAAAGGTGATGCCACAACAATGCAGTCTAACTTTTTTATTATGCAAGAACAATGCACAAAGTTCTACTTTAGTATTGATTTGGATAAAGAGTTACGTTTGAAGAATATTTTCTAAGCAGATAATAGGAATCGGCAGGCATGTATAGAGTTTAGCAATGTTATCACATTTGGTACTAGGGATGGCTCGGTTCGGCCCTTTAATCCACGAAATGATTTGATTGAAATGATTTTTTTTCTTTATCTTTTTAAAATAGATAAAACATAAACCATCTTCCTTTATTCGGGCTTGGGACCAGCTACTTAAATTTTGAGTAGGTGGAGTTAAAAATTGTACACAAACAACTTGTAACGTATACGATTTTTTAAAAATAATTAAAACAGTTTTATAAAATAACAATTTGTGATTAAAATATCACTTACTTGACAACATGTAATTTCGTCATATTTATCTTGTATTCAGAAATGAGCGTCCTTTCAATCTTTCACGCACAGTAATGCTTTTAAAATATCTTATTTCAGTCGGCTCTTGACCTCAAACAAAATTCTCATGCACTAAAAGCAGACTCCGAAGCTATAGTACTAATTGGAGGTGTTAGTAAATCTTTTGCAATTACGAAAACTACTGGCCATCGTCGTTCGTACCTCCACCAGAATTCAATAATATTTTCGGAACTTTTTTTAATTGTTTTATTAGTAGGCATATTATGATTAAAGTAATCAATTAATTCGGCAGGCAAAGTATTTGCATTCCTTCAGATGTTTGGGCCGATGGAGATGCAACTGACAAAGTATTACTAGATGAAGATGAACCTATTGCATTTGAATCATACCTATAAGTGCTAATGCCTTGAAATAAATTATATATTTTAACATCGTCTTCTTCAAGTTTAATAGAAAGAGTAGGCGCAGAGGGTACTCGACTAACATTTGTACCCATTCGTTCAGCATATAAATCATACATTTCACTTAAAGTTTGTTCTGAATTTCTATATGTGATAGGTGTACCAAAAGTTAAAGTTTTAGAAATTTGATCAATTAAATATTTAGCTCCCAATAAATTATATCGGGGGGTCTATTATGCATGCTAAAGGAAATAATATATGTAAGTCTTCCCTATATTTTCTAAACTTCAATTCTATAGAGTATATTTAACTCCCGATAAATTATATTAGGGTCATTTTTATATTTATGAAAGGCCCTAGCAATTATATAAAGACATTCTAGCATCATACAGCTAGTGTGATAGTAAACTCCAGGTAAAATATTTGTACTATCATAAAAACTTGTCAAAAATCTTTTAATCTTTAAAGCAAAAAGCCAATCGGATTCGTTCAGAATAGTTTCGTCATCGTTTCTAATATGTCCATTGTTGTAAAACTTAGTTATTAAATATTCAAAACCTTCACATGGCTTTAACAATAAGTAAGTGGAGTTCTATCTAGGACCTATGTCACTAACAAATGTTTTACAACTCAACTCCCCATATTCGGCACAAAATTCCTCAAATACATGTTTTATACTAGGAGAGATCGTGATATATATTACTGCATTCCTAATTCTTTGAATTTCATCTTTAATGTCTTTCAAATTATCTTGCACAATTAAATTTAAAATATAACCCACAATGAATATGAAATAAATAACCACCGAAATCAGGTTGCAATACCCTACACAATTTTTCGATAACTACTTTATTAACACTAGCATTGTTGAATGTAAAAGAACGAATTTTACTTTCGCAACGATATTCTTTAATAATAGTCATAATTGCATTAAATATATTATTAGCATTATGTGGGAATTTAATAATTTTAAAAGCAATAATTTTTTTTATGCATATACCAAAGTGGGCCTATGTAGTGTGCGGTTGCAGCATATAAGATCTTTTATTAATCCTCTCCCATATATCCGAAGTTAAACGTATAACACCACTATATTTTTGCAAATCCACAATTAACTGTTGTTTTGTTAAAAAAAATACTCTATCGTGTTAGAACGAAAGGTGTTTCGACTTACCTCAACGTATTTCGATTGAAGATATTCTTTCACGTATGAGATGAAATGTTGGTTGTTGGCACTCAGTACCAGCAATAAGTTTCACCATTCCTGTTCAAGCATTCTCTTCAAAATACATCCACGTGGTGAGGGACGAAGTTGTAGTGTTGGTTCCTAGACTACTAAATTGCAGTTGTCTTTGATCGACTTCAAAAAGTCCATGTTTAGCAGCACATGCTCTGTAGTGACGGTTGAGGTGAATGGTACAAATGTCTTTTTGCCATGTCAATCGTTGTTGACAATATTTACAGACTACTTTGAACTCCAGGACTCCATCGACAACCTCGTCCGTTGAAATCAGTTTAAAGTGATCCCAATATTTTGCCTGTTAGGCTATTTATAGAAAGGGGAAGAAAAAGGAAAAAAAATATTAGTGCCGTTTCGGCCACTGACTAATAATAAAAGTGAGCAAAACGGTCACTTTTTTTAAAAATGAATCTGTTTTGGTCAGTGTTCAAGGTGGCGCACAAGCCGCTCGTGGGCGAGCTCACCCATGAGCCGTTTAGCTAAAGGCGAATCGAGTGGGCTCGACTTGCCAAATGGGCCGGTCCGCTCGACTCGGGCTCCTTTTTTTACTAGCTCGAGCTACCCGCGAGCCCTATTTTGACGCGATGAGCGGCGAGTCGCTCGACCCGTTTGCCACCCCTATTTGATACCACATATCTAACGAATAGTATGATATGCCGTTTAATCTTTTTTGTTGGAGTGAACCATCACTGACAGTCGACACTCCTCAGATGTGGTCGCATATCAAACGAAGAAACTGATACATTTGTGTGGCTTTTTCAAAATGGTTGCAGTACATGAACAACCGAGCTCCCAATGAGATAATTACCGATTAGGACATGCCAATGCAGAATGCAATTTAGATCATATTTTCCAATGTGAAGCACATGTGGGTTTGTGGCATATATTGAAAAAATTGTCAGAAGTTCAGATTTCACATTGATAAAGCTTCGATTTTTTCTACTATACATGGATTGGTTTATGATTCTCAATTTGTTGAAGAATTTGAAGAGTGTTGGCTAGCGATGTTAAAAACGTATAATTTGTAGGATAATGAATCGTTTTTAGGTCTTTACGATAATAGATCTCATTGGGTTTTTTGCTATTTGAAAACCACTTTCTAGATGGGGATGTCAACAACTTAAAGAAGTGAGCGTATTAATGCATTTTTCTATGGATATCAAAGCATAGACTTCAAAGTTGCCTCAAACCTCCTACAAAATTACAAGAAATTATACCCGTGCATAGCCATGATAATTTATACGCATAAAAATAAAAACACTACCATAAACACACTAGAAATAAAATTTTCATACGAAGACTACAATTACAAAGCGAAATTGCTTAACTACTACATTCCAATGAAACTACTAATCCATGAAATGCATAAGTAAAATAAGGTCATTATAATTAACCACTACAATTCATTCATGCCCCTTTCCTTTCTGATCTCCATCCACATTTGCTATTCCTTTGTGTATTGTCACTTTGAAAGAAATCTTAACATCCTATTGATCAGATAATTGACATCGAGATTGAAACGTGGCAAATAGTTCTTCAGCTCCTTCGTTCGTCACATGATTCTTCAAAGTCCCACTAATTGCACTTATTTCACCACCTTCGAACCACTCCCAATATCCACATCTTGCAGTACAAGTATTGAATAATCTACCTTTGTTCTTAGTCTCTCTCCACCTCAAAACACTTGACGAATGCATGTTTTCACCATGGTCAACGACATTTCTCCGAAAAGACCGCAAAATAATGCCCATTTTCTCTACAACTATAACATACTCCCTGATTTTTTCTGGCATCGTAACCTGGGAATAAAGCACGGTATATTGTAAGCTGAGATTAAATTTAGGGCAAACTTCATAATTCAATAACATTGAACATAATTCAAATACTTGTGCATCTTAAAATGCAGAATCTCCAAAATCCCATTAAAAAATCTCATTAACTTTACAGCCTCCTTCAATGTAGAATTTATGAAATCCCATTAAAAGCATGAACATTATCCCAAAATGGAGAAAGATAAAATTCTTAGACATGAAATTACAGTAATGATATTGTCATCCGATTCTTGAAGTAACTCCCCCATATGGTAATGCCATCGAAGAGGAAACAGACTTCTATTTTATACATACCAGAACTACTAACATTTCTGTTTAATTACTTGGGAGATAGGGAAATGACTGAGAAAAAGGGAATTGTGCACCATTTTACAAGGTATATCAACTGGTTTTGACCTAACAACATTGATATTAAAAAAATGAAGCAGTTACCTTCAATTCTACAACCCCGCAAGCACCCATCTACCCACTCAAAAAAAAAAAAAAAAAATAGGCAAGGATTAAAATTCAAGGCAACATGAAGATTCAAGAATTCGCCATTAAATAAGCATAATGCATTTTTTTTTCTTTCAATTTATACACTACGGTAACAAGAAAGTCCAAAACAAACTTCGAAAAAAAATATGAGAAAAGAACAAAAAAAAATTCCTAAGAATTGACCATTAAAAAATGCCCAACAGCATTGATGTTAAAAAAATGAAGTTGTTGCCTTCAATTCTACAACCCCGCGAGCCCCCATCTGCCCACTCAAAAAAAAAAAAAGGCAAGGATTAAAATTCAAGGCAACATGAAGATTCAAGAATTCACTATTAAATAAGCATAATGCATTTTTTTTCTTTCAATTTATACACTACAGTAACAAGAAAGTCTAAAACAAACTTCGAAAAAAAAATGAGAAAAGAAAAAAAAATCCCAATAATTCACCATTAAATAACAATAATGAATTTTTCTTTTGATTCATACACTACAGTAACAAGAGATTCTAAAACAAACTTCAAATCAAAATGGGAAAAGAACAAAAAAATTCCCAACTTATTCGAACTTACTTTTGCTTGTAATGCGACGAACAAAGACGAGGTTGGGTCCTTCTGGTGCAGCAGTCGACACAGCATTGCCGATGTTGGAAGAATTGAGAAAATTGGTGTGGTGTTGTGGGGGAAAGAATAACGATGGTTATGCGAAATAGGGTTTGAAACATATTTGGGCCAAGTTCCTTTTTCTTCGTTATTTCTTTCTCTTTTTTTCGGTTTTCTTAATTCATTAACCATTGGCCCATTTCCACCTCAGCAATTCATCCTTTTTGTCACCTAATTCGGTCACCATAGCATAATTGTAGGCACAATAGGATCTGTTTGTGTTTGTCAGAGTTTCTTCGAAATAGTGGAGGGAGGAGTGTTGAGGTGGATTTGGGAGATGGAGTGGCTTGGTGTAAGGTGGATCTCTATGGGTCAATGTGTGTTTTTGATGTGAGAAGGGGGTGGTTGTGCAGAGATGGAGCTCCATCGCTGGCGGTTGTCGCACTGGAAGAGGGTAATGGTGACAAGTGGAGTAGGTAGTGTAGCAATAATGGAATGAATAGGTGATTGCAAGTCTGTGCGAGGATGTGGAAGCTTCGTTAGGGTTATGAATTGGATTGTGGATTGTTGCTAACTTAAATCGATCTTGGGTTGTGGGTAATTGAATTGGATTGGATTGTGGGTTGTGGGTTTGTGAATTGGATTGGGTCTTTTAATGGGCCAAATTTACATTTTGCGATGGTCAATAAAAGTTGTGAAAAGTTTACTTTTCACAAAGTTTATTGATTATTGCAAATATGAATCTTTTCTCAACGGTCGATGAATGTTGTAAAAGACTATATATATTAAGAGTTTCAACAAGAAGCACAGAATGTTGTCATTGAACTAGATTTTAACAATGTTTAAAAAAAAACTTTTCAAAAAATGAAACTTTTCATAACATTCAAAAAATGTTACAAAAGTGAAACTTTTCGCAATAGTCAATTAACGTTGCAAAAGTCTATTTATTAAACGTTTCAGCAATTAACACCAAACATTGCTATAGCACCAGATTAACAATGTTAAAAAAAGTACAAAAAATTAAAACTTTTCGCAACATTCAAAAAACGTTGCAAAAGACGACATTAACAATATTCAGTAAAAAATGTTGCTAAAGCTCAATTATATTAAACAATGGCAACATTAACTAATAAAAATCTTGCGATAGACCATTTAGCAATACTCAATTAACGAACGCTGCCTTTTTAATGTTGTAAAAAGTTATTTTTATTGTAGTGCATGAGGACATGGAGATGGAGTCCGATGATGAACATGAATTGGAGCATGTACCACAGTTCACAACAGATTGCAAACAGTTTGATAATAATCAAGTGATATTGGTTCTTCATCCTGAACCAAGGAGGACGATTTCTCAATATTTGTTCATTTGCAACAAAAAATTTTCTTTGTGCATAATATAACAGACACAAGATAGATCTTCCAAATAACAAGGTCTTTTTCAAATAAGCAAATACAATTTCGAATCCACTTTGCCTACGAACAAGAAAGCTATAAGTAATGCAACTATGAAGATAGACACAGATTTTGAGCTTTAGGCAAATGACACCTCCGAAGATAAGACCTCACAAAATAAGATTTATATGACTCGTAGAGATTAGAATCATAATTTTTTTTTTCAATTTTTTACGATATTATTTTTTTTCGTATTCAAAAAAGAAAATGTTATAGGCAACATTGGATTTTTTATCCCCACTCATTTTTTATTTATCTATTTTTGATCAAATGATTATCGTGGTTTCAATGATTTAAATTAATAAGATTCGTTTTTCCCCGAAACATTTTGAGTTATGTTGTTCAATATCTGTAAGATAAAATTTTATTTTGTTGATTAAAGAAAATGGCACGATATTCAAATTAGGTAGCTATATTTAGGGATCTGATGAAGGCGTCCACAATCTTTGTAGGCAGCAAGCACAAGTGACTCCTTAGAAGGCACCCGTTATTGTTACACAACACAACACAAACTAAATTGTGGAGTCGTTTCACCATTACAAGGATCATTCTTTTGAGGGTAGAGTAGACCCTTTTGAAGCTAAGGAATGGTTAATGGGGATTGGAGATGATTTTTTAAGCACATGGCATGCACTGACATACAAATGTATTACTTACAAAGTTTATGTTGGTCGAAGTAGTAGACCATTGTTGGGAGTCTGGCTACGAGAACGACAACACAACATCTTTCTATGACTTATATGCAATTCAAGTAGAAAGTGATGAAAAAAATATTTTTCCAAATCCCTGAGGGATCGGATGGAGACAAAGTTCTTGTAACTTAAACAAGAAAAGATGTCACTAATTGATTACAAAAGGAAGTTCCAATGACTTTTCAGGTATGCTCCCACATCTTGTAAATACTAAGATAAAAAAAGGTTAGGAGGTTCAAACTAGGATTATGTCCCGAGAAAGGAGTAATCATGGCATCCTTATTTTAAACCACCAAATAAATGAGTTGAATTTACAATAGATCTTGTACTTTGAGCAGCACCAGTGTCTAAAGTACCATATAGGGTGAAGATAAAAGAACTCCAACAACTGAAGGTATAGTTACTGGAATTGTTGTATAAATATTTTATTGGACCAAGTGTATCTTGTTGGGGGAACATATATTCGTTTGGGAATAAGTAACATAAGTCAATGAAGATGCACATCAACTAGAGAGAACTAAATTGATTGGCTATTAAAAACTGATATCCCATCCTTTAAATTGAAGGTCCATTCGATCAATTGAAAAGATCAATAAAATTTTTGAATATGGACATTAGGTCAGGATATCACCAGTTGAAGGTGAAAGAGAGCTAAATTCAAAAGGATGATATTTATAACTTGGTATGGTTACCATGAGTTCACCATGATACCTTTTGGATTGACAAATGCTCTTGTAGTATTCTTAGATTTGATTAATAGGGTGTATCATCAACATATGGGTTCATTTGTCATTATATTCATCGATGATATTTTGTTATATTCAAGGAATATTTAGCAACATGCAATAATGTTGGAAATATTACAGAAGGAGAAATTGTATACCAAATTCTGACGTGTGAATTTTGACTCGATCATATAGGCCTTCTTGATCATGTGATTACCACTTAAGGAATTGAAGTAGACCCCGCAAAATTTCAAGTTGTAAGGGAATGGCCTTGATCGTTGAATGTAGGTAAACCCATAGTGTCTCGGGGCTAGGTAGTTATTTTAGAGGTTTACAGAAGGATTTTCCAAATATCGAAGCCGATGATCCAACTAATCAAAAAGGGGTGAAATTCCAATGGGCAGAGAAATATGAAAAGAGTTTTGTATTAATGCAAAAAAAAAAAAAAAAGTGATTGCGAGGTTAAAATATTTGATGTATGTGGAATAGACTTCATGGGACATTTTCCCCCATCGTACTCAAATCAATATATCTCGGTGGCCGTTGACTATATCTCTAAGTGAGTGGAAGCTGTTGCATTGCCTACCAACGACGCAAAAGTGGTAATAGAGTTATTGAAGAAGTACATATTTACAAGATATGGTACACCAAGGACGATAATAAGTGATGGAGGCAAACACTTCATAAATCATCAATTAGAGCAGCTGTTGAACAAATATGGGGTGAAACATAAAGTAGCAACTCCATATTATCCACAAACCAATGGACAAGTTGAAGTTTCGAACAGGCAGTTAAAGAGAATACTGGAAGTTACAGTGAACTCATCCCAAAAAGATTGGTCTAAGAAGTTGGACGATGCACTGTGGGCTTACAGAACAACGTTTAAGACACCAATAGGAATGTCTCCGTACCGCCTGGTTTTTGGGAAAGCGTGTCATCTACCATTGGAGTTGGAGCACCGAGCATATTGGGCTATGAAACAGTTGAATATGGATCTCAAGGCTGATGGTGAAAAACGACTGCTGCAACTTAATGAATTGGATAAGCTGAGAATGGAAGCTTACGAGAACTCAAAGTTGATTAAGGAGCGCACCAAGAGATGGCATGATTTACACATTCAGAGGTGAGATTTTGAAGTTGGTCAGAAAGTGTTATTGTACACTTCTAGACTCAAACTCTTCCCAGGAAAGCTAAGAACAAGGTGGTCGGGTCCCTATACCATAACTAAGGTGATGCAATATGGGGCTATTGAAGTGAGTCACGAGACCAAAGGCACATTCATCATTAATGGGCAAAGACTAAAACATTATTGGGGCTGTAACTTCCCTAAGCAGAAGTCCACTGTGCAACTCAGCAACCCAATGTGAAGAAGACACAGGAAAGTCGAGATATCGATTATAAACTAGCGCTGGGTGGGAGGCAACCCACTGTATCCTTCAATTTATTTTATTGCACCAACTACACCAACTTTTGTTGTAACTACACCAACCCCCTTTTGTTGTAACTACACCAACTACACCATGCGGCCGCATGGTGTATAAATGATGGGTTTTAAACCCATCACTTGCAAAACCCACCCCATATCTTCCCTCAACTACACCATGCGGCCGCATGGTGTATAAGTGATGGGTTTTAAACCCGTCACTTGCAAAACCCACCCCATATATTCCCCCACTTCACATTTCACACGAACACTTCCATTATCCCCCCCCCCCCCTCCACCTTCACACGAGCATAATCAATCAAACAAGCATCCAATTTTCATTTAAGCACCACATTATTCTCTTCATTGGCATTAATATCAAGAACATTGAAGCAAAATTCTCCATTTTCATCGCACAAAAAGCTCTCAAGTTAAGAAATTTAACTTTCTATGCAAAGATTGAAGTACTTCTTTGATTTTATGAACTTTTTGAATTGGTTGAGTGTTGAAATGAGATTGAATTGTGATCTGTGGATTAGCTCTACGTGTAGATCAATAACAATGTGTAAGGAATTCCTAATACACACAAAATGTTTGATTAAATGTCAATTAGACATATGATTTGAAATTTTGGACTTTTCATTTGTGTGATGATTTACATTGTTATTATGAGGCGTAATTGATGAAAAATCTCATGGAATTTCATTAGAACACATTCGCCTCACATATTGTTGCACATAAACACATAATTGCTAAGCCATGTCAACTCACGTCACTAACTTCGTCCATGTATTTTCCTAACCAAACGACCTCCGATTGTAGTGAAATTTGGCTATACGCTAGACCTCAATGAGTACTTTCATATGTCCGGACCTTGTCTAGGGAAATTTCCATGTTTCTCGGTGATGCTCGGGGCTGAAGATGGTCACTTAGTCATGGGTCGAATTTTCAAAAAGTGCATGTCAGAGCCATAGTTTTGAGTTTTTCTCATTAATGCAATATTGATGTTACATTGACTTCCATATGTTGAATATTGCACACATTTTGAAGAAAGTTTGGGGGATTCTTGCATGTCAATGATATTATTTATCGTTTTCTTATTTCAAGAATTTGATACACTTTGTTCCTTACTTTTGTAGGATGCTGTCGAAGAGAACCTCAAAGGGAAAAGAAAAAGTTGGTTCCTCCTCCAGTACAGCCCGCACCAGAGATCTAATAGGAGGTGTACGAAGATTCCA